TTGTGCAAAATAACTTCTCAGATAGCCATGATTTTATTTGACTCTTACTACATAACTTACGCAGCTGCCTTTTTCCTGAGGGGAGCAAGGACACTGATTTAATCATAATTACTCATGAGTTTTCTCTTTGCTGACTCTGTGCAGATTGTAAATTATTCTGTAGTCTGTATTTCTGCTTCCAATTTTAAGGCAGCAGTAATTCCCAAAGCCTAGGAAAATTTAGAGAAGGCTCAAGGTATACAGGGGAAAAGCCAAAGGGAGTAAAGGAAAACTTCATATATTTCAAGAAGCTATATTCTTGCTCTTATCACCAAACATCGCAAGAGATTTGTACTGGTGAGATCAGTTGTGTTCATCTGGATCATTTATTGCTTTTCACTCTGATTTTGAACAAGTATCAGTCCTATGTTTACAGATCCTATTGCTCAAAAGCAAAATGTGTAACAAGCTAATGCAGCACTAACTTCTCTGGTTCTGCTGAAAGAGTTTGGTCCTGACCATGGCATCAGTCTATCTATATGATCTGTTTCTTCTCCTAAAGTAGCCAGCAGCACACAATTTGACTCACTACAATGCACCCCAGAACATTCAAAAAGTTCTAGTTAATTTTTCTGTTCAGTGCCACATCTAGATAATGCTTAAATCTGCAGACAGGCAAATACTAGCCACAGACTTGAAGCAGTCCACTCTGAAAAATATAAAAGACTGAAAAACCTCTTGAACTTTGGACCTTGGCTCTAATGCAGTTGGCCCTTTCAGAATAAGTAATTTATTCATACTCAAAAGGCTGGCCATTGCAAGCAAGGTGTCTGGCATAATGATATTTTTCCATTCTACTTTCTGGGGCCTCATTTGGGCATCTGAGTGACTCTACCAGAAAATGAGGGGGGATATACTATTGCCAGTAAAATAAAATACTGGTTTTGGCAACGGGAATCATTTGCATCTTTTAAGTAAAAAGTTTTTGTTATTACTTTGTTTCAAAACCAGCTTCATCACTAAATAGGATGGCTGTTTGCAGAACAGGAATTTGTAGTCCAGGTCTTCATCTTCTGAAGCAGCAGTGAAATTGGCAGTTAAACTGCTCTACCTCTGTGGTCATGAGGGATAATATATAAAAACAGAAAGAAATTTGCTTTCTAGGACTGTGCTTGCAGTGCTAGCAGTTAGAAAGAAAGATGGTGTTCAGATTTGTGAATTGAGTAAATTTGATATGGAAGTCATCGGGGACAACACAATAAATATGGAGTGGCAGTATTTACTTTTTTTTTACAATTGATTGTACTTTTCTCGCCATAAAAAAGTACACTTTATCACCTAACTTCACAGTTATTTTCAGTATCTTGTACAAATAGGGACTTTTTTTCTAAAGGCACAAAATTCAATAGATATCCTAAGCTGGAGATGACAGCAGGTTCCCAGTGAACAAACTGCAGAATATGTAGTTTGAGAGATAAATCTGAATGGGAACCAGATTCCAAATAATTGCTTGGGCTTTTCCCCATAGGTTCACTCATATCTTCAGATTCCCTAGAATAACTATTATGCTCTAGGATATGAGGGGAGACCTCATCACTCTCCACAACTACTTGAAAGGAAACTGTAGAGGGGTTGGTGCTGGTCTCTTCTCGCAGGTAATTAGTGACAGAACGAGAGGGAACGGCTTCAAGCTCCAACAGGGTAGGTTTAGACTGAACATTAGGAAAGAATTTTTCACAGAAAGAGTGGTTGGGCCTTGGAACAGGCTGCCCAGGGGAGGTGGTTGGGTCACCATCCCTGGGTGAGTTTAAGAGTTGTTTAGATGTGGTGTTGGGGGATATGGTGTAGGGGAGGACTTTGTAGAGTAAGGTTGATGGTTGGACTCAATGATCCCAAATGACCTTTCCAACCTAAATGATTCTATGATTTTCATTGCATTCATTTTATCCAAAGAATAAAAACAGTATAAAGAACAAGAATTTCCATCATGATGGCATATACTCTTTTGATCAAAAAAATTACTACTTTTTCTCCTTTTTTTTGTTTTTTCAAAATGTGAATGTTCGGGATACAGCAAGCCTTAAAAATATACATTGCAGCTGTACACAACAGATAGACTAGCTAGCATTATCTCAATATTTATTTTTTTTTTTTATATCTTCTCTTTTTTAAGACATTGCTCAAGACTTGCACTGTGTCAAGTAAGAGCTAAATTTTCTCTTCATTTCAGATCCTTGCTATCTTAAGTGTTTATGCTCCCATTTATCTTTAAATTCATGATCCTGTGCTGCACTCCAAAATGAAGATGCATACTTCTATTTGGCTGTCTCATAAATGCAGCCCAAAATCTTTATTTCATTATATACAATGTGCAATGCAGCGATTTGCCTTTCTTCAACATGCATATCCTCAAGTACACATTACATTTTTAGAAATCATCACACAAGATAAAGATTTCTGAAAAAACATGTGGGACATGAACGTGAAGCTTTGGGGAAAAATTTATCAAATGTGTCCACAGGCATTTTCTGTGGAATTCAAAGAGCTCATCTGCAACAAAATATTTAAGCAAAGCAACAGATGCCAAGAAACACTGTGCTGTTAGAAGCAGTCAAAGTACATTCTCCTTCAAGCTTTTTTCCTTCACTGTAATATTTTATAGGTACTCCTACATTTCTATATTCCTAGAAGCATTCATTTCTGACCTACCTTCCAGTGTTCCTGCACAGATCGGATCCTTGCTTAAATATAATTCATGTATATAAGTCTAGGTCATTAAACCTTCAGCTTTCACTATGTCACGTAACTGCAATAAATACAGTATTCTTCTGTGCTAAGGTAAGGAGACATTTTTGTATCATATTTTGTATCTTTTGACAAGACTAATGCAGTTTCCAATAAGGTCACAATAAATTTTAGAAATTGTAGTGAATCCCCACTGAGATTTGTAAGATCCTCAGACTTTCTTATTGAGCATGTAGAACAAAGACACAAACATAATCACTGATGAAAGACCTAAAAGGAATAAAGCCAATTGGCTGGGTGGCAGAATAGAAAGAATTAGTGGACAGCTTGTAGGGGATGCTGTGGACATGGGTCACAAGTTTACAAGTTCACAACTTGTTCCCAAATTGGTATTTGCAGCTGGTGCTTAGAACCATATGCAGATTTTCTTTGCCGTGTAGCATTCAAGCAAAGGCTGATTACAAAGGAATCACAGTAGTCCATGAGAACCTTAGCCACTGCCCTGGAAGATTATGGGGAAACTGAATTACAATCAAACGTCTTTGATTGTAAACCATAACGATATTAGTGTAAACTAGATGCAGATTAAGAAAAAATATCTGAGAGATGAGACCTTTTCTTTTTTTTTTCAGTAATGGATATTCTCATAGTGGATGAATCCAAATTCTTTCATACAACTCTAAACAACGTATTTAAGTAACATACACAGAAGCTGAATGCTTTGTGTATTTGTTTCAGTGATACAACATGATGCAGCACGCTGGACTATAGCTTTCTAATTGATTGGATAGCCCATTCCAGGATGATTTTCATTAGAAAAAATCTCTCAGGAGGTTTTCTCTGGTTTTAATTATACAGGCCTCAAATTCAGGTCAGTAAAATTTCAGTGAAGTTGAGGGAATTGCCTCAAGAATGAAACTGGTTTGCTATTTTGTTGCTTAGATTCAGGTGTCCCTGAAGTGGAATGGCAGGGTACAGGATGACATAGCCAAATTAAATTAATTTAGAGGTGGTTATATACAGGCACTGCAGAACACCCTTTGTGGTTCAATCACTGCTTTCAAACAAAAAATCCCTACAACTGCTAAAGACCTCTTTTTGGAAACCTGAGAGGAAATGGATGAAACAGCAGTGTGACTGTGTCTTACAACAGTGAGTACAATAAAACCATACTCAAAAGGATTTATCCAATGCTAACAAATACCTTCAGATATTCCCCCCACCAAGGACTATTTCAGTGCAGTTTTTGTGCAAGCAGAAGCGTAATCCCGAGCTGCATGCTAAAAGCCATTGCAAATGTATGCAGATGTCAGCACTGGGGAAAAGTAAACCATACAAAACTAAAAACATAAATAGAAATCCTCCACTGTGAAAATCTTAAAATTGCTACTAAATGTAAGCAAAGAATGTTTTGGAAGATAGTAACATGGCCATTAGAGAAGCTCTTTGCTTGTCTGAGCCTGAGAGGTAGTAGAGGTGCAAGATCAGCATGAGAAAAAAAATTTTAAAATAAACACACTCTGAACTTTAGAAAAGGATGAGATACTCTTTGCAAACAAATCATGTCCACAGACCTGAAGGGAGTTTACAGCGTATAACCAAACTTGCAGTGTAAAGAGCAGAAAGCTATACAGAAGGCAGAAAAAGATGAAAAGAAGAAAAATATTTCATTGGGGATTATTTCCTTGCATGGCCTTGTGCAGACTTTGGTTGTGTGACATAACAAAGAGAAATAAAATAAACAGAATGAAACAGATAGCTTGCAAGAGAAAAACATTTCTAGAGGGACAGACAAAACTCTAGACAAGGCTCTGAAGAAGAAGGATATACCATCTCAATAGCAGACATGTGGAAAGACTAGTACTCAAATGCAGAAGAAAAATTAAAACAGAACCACAAGCATTTCTTCTTTTAGATCAACTGGCACACCAGTTTGCCATGTCTTGCATTGAATGAGATTGCCAGTCCCTCAGAGAAGGGACTGCTTCTTACAGACTGTTCTAAAGTTCATCACAATGGAGCCCTTATTCTGCATGCAGCTTTGGGATACTACACTGATAAGAGGACCTCAATTTTTTAAATGAATTTCTGAGTTCTGAGAACAATTTGGCAGTGATTATGACTGATAATGCACTGTCGGTTTGATGTCTTTTGTCCCTGTGCTCCATGACTGGATAACTGGATGCATTACTGTAAGGGATAACCAGATATGTAACTGTAATCTAAACTCTAAACCCTTTACAATAAAATAAACAAACTTAAAGCACTTGACTTACCTATGACAGCAGAACTCCCTGGAGTGACGGTCATTTTTGTTCCTGAAGGAGAGGCCAGCACGGAACGAGTGCTGGTCCCAGCACTGGAAAACATTGCTTCCAGATCTTCTAGGTAAGGAAGAGGTCGTGGAGGCTCTGGTAACAGATTGGGAAACTGAAGTGATGAGCAACATTATCGCAGAAAACATCTCAAGGACATAAAAAAACTCCACCACCAGCTATTGCTGCATTATTTGCTGTGCTGCAATATTACCATTTCAGGGGGGCATTCTAAGCAACTTTGGGCAATTACTAAAGCTATGCTTTGCTTCATGTTCCGTAAGGCACTAGAGAAATTATTAAAATAACATCTGGATCAGTATGACCACAAAATAAAAGAAATTCTGTCTGAAGGCTACCATGGCACTCTGGTTCACCCTCTTCATATGTGACGAAGGTACATGGTATCAGGAGATACAGCAGCTTGGATGAAAGAGCAAATTTACACAGCACAGAAGTCGAATAAAATGTCCATGGCAGTCAGTGGAAAACTTTTGATGTCTGCTACGACTTAGATCAAGCCTTGATTAAATATGGTTATAACCCTGCCAAAACATGTGGTATACTTAGGCAGAGCTCCAAAGGACTTAGAGTTCAGAGCTCAAGGGGATCAGTCTATGCTGAGAACTGCAGGATTTAGTACTGTACTATCCATAATGCTATTTTGAAAATCAATTGTGTTGCCTATCATTCCCAATTCTGTTTGTCACGGAATTGATGGGATATGTGATTTAAGTGAATGGTGGCTTCATCCCCTTTCAGTTAGATCATGGCATACACTAAGCAGGTTTTCTATTGCTGATCAGAAAAAGGTTTAAAGATCATGTAGGAAATCTTATTTATAGGCTGAAATCCAGCTGATTTTTTTTTTTTTTCAGATTTTTTTTAGGCTGAGTTCCTAGAGCCAGTCTGGATTTACAGGGAAATCATGTCAGCATTCATAAAGAGGGTTTAGTGTTGTCTGTGAAACTGAGAAATCTGACTTTACAACTTCCCCTGGCGCTGCATCATCCATGGGACCTGTGCTCACCCCAGTCCTGAAAGATGAGAGCTGTCACAGACACGTTAATGCTGTTGCGCTAATAACAGGGACTAGGTTTCAAAATTTGACACTTCACTATCAAATGTACAGAAGCACTTACAAAGTCTGGCTGGATCATTCATCTTCCAGGCATGGAGAAATGATAGAAGATGAGTTACTAGGACAGGAAACCCTTTTCCCACACATCCAGCTACCACCAGGTAACACTTCCACCCATGCTTCACAGCTGACATTGTCTTTTAAGTCAGCCAGATGGGCTCACCTTCTGTTGTTTAGAAACCCAATAAAAAGTAAATTTCACCCTTCACTGAACTTGGGAAGTGATTTTTAAAAGCGCACTGGGTTTATGCACCTGTTGGGTGTGAAACAAGTCAGTGTCACACAGCCATGCACAGAAAGGCTGCTCAGGAGAGGCAGGGCCCTCACAGGGAAAAAGTGGCATCATTCTCATTTCAAGAGAGCCAGTTTAGGAAATGGTTAATAAATGCTTTTCTTAGTTAGTAAGCCTGAAAGAGTGAAACTGAGTATCTCAGGATTGGGGGGTGCAGTCCCTGTGCTGAGATATTTTCTCCTTATCCATCTTCCTTTTACCACCACCTTGTTTCTGGTGATGTTGCCCAGAGAACAAATGCAGACTGATACTTTTCTTAGAACAGGGCTACCTGTATGCTATTCCCTCTGATTCCGCATCCTCTGATTAGGTTTTCAGGCTAGATGTGCCAGCAGCCACATTACAGTTGCTGCAAGTGCAAAATACCCTGGACTTACCAAGAATTAACAGCTGGGAGCTTTCAGTTACTGCCCCACGAAGATTGGCTGCCTTGCAGGAGTACAACCCCTGATCTGACAGAGAAACATTTGTAATTAGCAGCAACCCATCACGCAGATAGTGAGCAGGGGACAGCTTGACCTTGTTCTTAAACCAAGTAACTTCTGCTTCAGGAACACCTGGAAAAATATTGACAAAACATAACAGAAGTAAGATATAGTGGTTGTTAAACAGTGTTATGGTTGCTATAGAAAAAAGTTGGAAAAATAAAACAACTAAACCAAGATTTTAATACGACTTGCAAGTTACATTTTTTGCAGTTCAGAAGTGTTTAGTCAACTCTTTCACATTGCCTGCCTTTATGTTTCTTAGATCCGTCCAAGATGGAGCAGAAGAATTAAAACCAAATTGAAGTCTTTCCTTTTAGTGTCCCAGAGCTGTAAAAGCGAACTCTGAGCTTATCACTTTTAAAAGCAATCCTCTATTGGATCTGAACAAAGGTCAACCCAGCCCAGTATCCTGTCTCTGGAAGAAGCCATAAGCTGGTGCCTCTCCCAGCCTCCCACTAGCTTCTGGTCAAGCTCTTTCTGAGCCAGGAGTAGTTTTTGTGTAGTTAGGAGCCCTCCATGGATTTCTCCTCTAATCTTCCTTTTTGAAACTTTTGCTAACAATTAGCATTTACATCTTCAGAAAAACAGTTCCACTGGTCTTATCTGAAGTCTTCAGAAAAACAGATTGTTACAGATTCATAACCCATATAAGAATTGCCTCCTTTTTTGCACTTCGATTTGAGCTTCAGCTGTCTCTGTTGGGTACCCTCTTGTAAGAATGGATGCTGAAGTGTATCTGGCAAGATCTCTGTTCTTGCAGTAGATAGTATTTCCTAGGCAAAGGGATTTCTACTTAATTTAAATGCATACCAGATCAGGTAATATAGTGCTACTAACTACCAAACAATTGGTTTATGAGAAATGGTATTGAAAGTCTCAATAGATGGGATAGACCTACGGAGCTGTGCCTGGGAGGAAATGGTACTGTGCAAAGCCATGGTTGTAACGAGCAGCATGTCACTAGTCCTAGTGACTGCTGGAGTGCATGCTCTCACATTTGCGGTACCCTCTGTATGGGTACCCCCTCTTTCGCAAGATTGTGCAGTTTCCTTTGGTCTACCGTAGATTAAGGGCATCCATACAGGTGTTATTCTTAAGTATCTGCTGCCCACCTTAAATCCTTCCCTGCTTTATATCACAGCAACATGTTCCTCTGCCCATTGTCAGTACCCTTCTGTTTGTGCATCCACATCGAAAAACAAAACCCACTCTGTTTGTCACTTCTGTGGTCCTGGCTTTGGAAATACCTCACTCTGGCAGTGCCTACTGAGCACGACTACCCATTTGTCTGTATTCACAGAGACTGCTTGACTGCAGGCGCCTCACTAAGCATGTGCAGACTGAAGTGGTAAAGGAAGATTTTCCCTATTCATCCACAACAAAGCAATGTAGCCTTTTTCCCCACCTCTCCCAGGGTCACCTGGTGACTTTGCCAAGACATCTGGAATGAGTATGTGTGATCTTGGCAGCCAGAAGGAAAAGCTGAAGCCCTGTAAGGGCAGAGAGTTTCATTCACATTCAGAAAGTAGCATGAAGCAAGCTGTAAAAGACTGCAGTCCAGGAGGTTCCTCCAATGTATTGAAGATAACTTCTTGACTCAGGTGGTGGGGGAGCCAACAAAGAGCAGTGTACTACTGGCCCTAGTTCTGACAAACAAAGAGGGGCTGGTGGAGGACTGGAGGAAAGCCAATGTCACTCCTTCAAAAAGGGCAAGAAGGAGGACCTAGGAAACTACAGCCAGTCAGCCTCACCTCCATCCCTGGGAAGTTGATGGAACAGCTCATTCTGGGCATCGTCTCAAAGCATATGGAGGAAAATAAAGCTATCAGAAGTAGTCAACATGGATCCACCAAGGGGAAATAATGTCTGACTAACCTGATAGCCTTCTACAATAGCATGACTGGTTGGCTAGATGAGGGGAGGGCAGGGTGGACATTGTCTACCTTGACCTCAGCAAGTCTATCAACACAGCATCCTTATAGGTAAGCTTAGGAAGCAAGGGTTAGATGAATGGACAGTGGATTGAAAATTGGCTGAAAGACAGAGCTCAGAGGGTCGTGGTTAGTGGTACTGAGTTTAGTTGGAGGTCTGTAACAAGTGGTGTTCCCCAGGGGTCAGTACTGGGTCCAGTCCTCTTCAATATATGCATCAATGACCTGGATGAAGAAGTAGAGTGTACCCTTAGCAAGTTTGCTGGTGACACAAACCTGGTTGCTGGCTGACACTCCAGAAGGCTGCGCCACCATACAGCAAGATCTAGAGAGGCTGGAGAGTTGGGCAGAGAGGAACCTGGTGAAATTCATCAAGGGCAAGTGTAGAGCGCTGCACCTGGGGAGAAATAACCCCATGCACCAGTACAGGTTGGGGGCTGACCTGCTAGAGAGCAGCTCTGAGGAGAAAGACCAGGGAGTCCTAGTGGACAACAGGATGACCATGAGCCAACAATGCGCCCTTGTGGCCAAGAAGGCCAATGGCATCCTGGGGGGCCTGAAGAAGAGTGTGGCCAGCAGGTCGAGGGAGGTTATCCGGCTCCTTCACTCTGCCCTGGTGAGGCCCCATCTGGAGTATTGTGTCCAGTTCTGAGCTCCCCAGTTCAAGGAGGACAGGGAACTGCTGGAGAGAGTATAGCAGAGGGCTACAAAGATGACTAGGGGCCTGGAGCACCTCTCTTATGAGGAAAGGCTGAGGCACTTGGGTCTTTTTAGTCTGGAAAAGATTGAGGAGGGATCTGATCAATGCCTATAAATACTTAAAAGGTGGGTGTCAAGAGTATGGGGCCAGTCTTTTTTCAGTGGTGCCCAGAGACAGGACAAGAGTTAATGGCCACAAACTGGAACATAAGAAGTTTCATCTAAACATGAGGAGGAACTTCTTTACTTTGACAGAGCACTGGAACAGGCTGCCCAGAGAGATGGTGGAGTGTCCTTCACTGGAGACATTCAAAACCCACCTGGACATGTTCCTGTGCAACCTGCTCAAGGTGGACCTGTTTTGGCGGGGGGGGGGGGGGGTGTTAGATTAGATGATCTCCAGAGGTCCCTTCCAACCCCATATCATTCTGTGGTTCTGTGATTCTGTCTCACCTTTGTCTGAGGTTAAATAGCATATGCTAATCTGGACCCTTCAAGGCATACCTAGAGAACTAATCATTCTTGTCCATGATGACATTTTCCAAAAGCTTTTCTTTCTTTGTGTTGATACAACTCAGCTTTTTTAAAAGGATGGGCTGTTGGCCTGTTTCTGACCCCCCCACTGGGATAGGACCAGTGCACAGCTCTCCATCTGGCTGCTACTCTTTGACCTATGTGACATGGGTGGGCCGACCACCACTTAAAACCTCACTCTGATTTTTTCCAGAGCATCCAGGAAGAGTCCTCATGGGAGCTCAGACAACTGCTGAATAGCAAACAACCCCAGCCCTTGAGTTTAAATAAACCTGTATGTTTATTGTGTTTCAATTGCAGGGAAAGGAAGTTGAGCTCTGAAGAGCAAAGGAGAGAAAATTAAGACTCTTCCAGTTCTGCAGTCCCTGAAATGAAAAAACACATCCCAGCACTTGTCCTCCCAATGCCACCCTACTGAAGGGATGATCCATCCTCTCTTGTAGTCTAAGCTACTTACAGTGCACAGGTTTTCACATTATGTCACTTAGGAATGGAAGTGTCAAGAAATGTACCTCAGAAATAAATGACAACAAGATTATAAAATTATATGGCTTTCTCCATTTCTAACCAAGGCTTATCTTCTTTCTTTGTTTTGAAGACTAAAATTGAGTAGATCTTTCAAGTAGTTCTTGAAAATAAAAAGATAAGTGCAAATAGTGGGAGAAGAGGAAGGGGAGATCTGAGAAGGGTAAAGAAGAAGGGAAAGGGGCATTGAGGATTTCATATGACCACAGTCCTCAAGAGAAAAGACTCAAATAAATAAATATGAAGAGACAGACAAAACTACCTTATTTCTTGCAGACTGCTGCTCTGCTAAAGGCTGACTCCTCTTGAATCCACTTCACTAGCAGATGCAACAAGGGGTTAAAGATAAGACCCCTTAGTGTTGAGGTTACTGCTGAGTCTAGTAAAAGTGCACTGTACCTACCTGATGTCCAGCAGCTCTAGAAAAGCCTTTTCTGACTTGCTACTCTAGTTCTTGTTCTCTCTTTAACGTGAAGTTTCCACACTAACAGGAGATTGTTTGAAACTAACCTGTACAGCTGTTCCTACAATTTGTTTAAGGGAAGATAAGCAGTACGTGTCAGTGAGCTGCACCTTCGGTTGCCTTTGTGCTTCCACCTTTAATGCCACATGTAAGCCTCAAGACAGGAGTCGAAGGGGACGAGCAGAGGGACGAGCAAACACCTCATTGCGGAGCACTGCCACAAGGGGTAGCAAGAGCATTGCCATCAGTTTTGTTGGGAACGGCGAATGACAGAGGACAGGGGGCTGAGAGTGTTTGCCTTGCAGAAACAATCACAGGGACTGAAAGTCTGAGAGGTGCCAGCTGGAAACAAACCCCACTTCGCTGGGCAGGCATGGGTGCTGTTTAACATTTTTATCAATGATATAGACAGGGAGATTAAAGGCACCATCAGCAAGTTTGCGGACGATACCAAGCTGTGTGGTGTTGTCGATACACCAGAGGGACAGGATGTCATCCAAAAGGACGTGGACAGGCTGGAGAGGTGGGCCCAGGTGAACCTCATGAGGTTCAACAAGAGCAAATGCAAGGTTCTGCACCTGGGCCGGAACAATCCTCGCCACCAATACAAACTAGGGGGTGAGGTATTGGAAAGCAGCCCTGAGGAAAGGGACTTGGGGGTGCTGGTGGATGAGAAGCTGGCCATGAGCAGGCAGTGTGCAGCTGCAGCCCAGAAGGCCAATCGCATCCTGGGCTGCATCAAAAGAAGCGTTGCCAGCAGGTCCAGAGAGGTGATTCTGCCACTTTACTCTGCTCTGGTGAGACCTCACCTGGAGTATTGTGTGCAGGTCTGGAGCCCTCAATATAAGAAGGACATGGACCTGATGGAGAGGGTCCAGAGGAGGGCCACAAGGATGATCAGGGGGATGGAGCACCTCTGCTATGAGGACAGGCTGAGGGAGCTGGGGTTGTTCAGCCTGGAGAAGAGGAGGCTCCGGGGCGACCTAATAGCAGCCTTCCAGTACCTGAAGGGAGCCTACAGGAAGGCTGGGGAGAATCTGTTTAGAAAGGCCTGCAGCGACAGGACGAGGGGCAATGGCTTCAAGCTGGAGGGGAACAGATTTAGATTGGAGATTAGGAGGGGGTTCTTTACTGTGAGGGTAGTGGAGCACTGGAACAGGTTGCCCAGGGAAGTGGTTGAGGCCCCATCCCTGAAGATATTCAAGGAGAGGCTCGATGAAGCCCTGGGCAACCTGGTCTAGTTGGGGGTGTCCCTGCTGACTGCGGTGAGGTCAGGCTAGATGACCTTTGGAGGTCCCTTCCGGCCTGGGCAATTCTATGATTCTATGATTCTATGATTCTATGATTCTATGACTTTAGATGGTGAATAGTTACCCATACCTATTCTTCTACAGCTAGCCCCTCCATCACTGTGCAAGTATCCAGCACAAGAAGGCTACCTGAAATATGTAGCAATCAGGACTGTGCATGCCAATCAAGCTAATTTTGGTAAACCAGGAGCTTTTGGGGAAAGGAAGCATAGCAATACAAGGATCTAGCAGTGGTGACTTGTTTCCAGTGCCACAATATTATTGAAATTGTGACTTGCATATCAGAATCTGGTATAGTTGATGAAAAAATACAGGCCATAAAGCAAGGTAAGAACTAGAAAAATATAACCTTCAGCATAGAGATGGAATACAGAGGAAAGGAATGTGTAGGAGAGTTGAAAAAGCTGCAAGTTGAAACATCAGAGTGTGAAGGATATACGGGCTAGAATGGCAATATATTTCAAGTCACTTTTCCAAACCTGTTCTGACTCAATAGTGACTAATGATACATGACACTTTGCAGACAGGTATCTCTGTTAGACTTCTTAGGGCCTTAAGGATACCATGATGAAATGCCCTAAGAACTAGATTATTAAAATTGGTTCCTCCTTTCATGTCCAATTGTATTTTCAATAACAAGTTGAGCCAGATTTGTTGAGGCTTCTGAATGAATACCTGCACGACTTAAGTGCTGAAGTCAACAGAAGTCAACAGAAAGCTTCCTAGTTATATTGATGTGATCCAAATTGCTCCCACATCCTCTTTGGAAGTAAAATTGCCCACACCAATAAAATTGCCCACACCAGAAATGCTGCTGGCTTTCTGAAGCTTGGAGAAAATCCTCCAGCTGGAAGCGATCCAGTCATCTGCAAGACTCCTGAGTGACTTTTGGGTGGGACTTCCCTTAGTTTTGCACAAGTCTGGGAATAACCACAATCACCTAACTATGTTTAAAAAACATTCTTTCACCTCTACAGACAAAGTAGCAGAGTTATGTCAAGTGAAATAAGGCTGATTTTCAAGCTTGAACAAAACCACACCACCATCTTTGTGGTATAACCAAATTAGAGTTTCATCCTGACATAATGCGTATCAAGGGCCAATTAAACTCTAATGCATCCAGGATGATTTAGTTTTCCCTTGTCTTACAGCTAGTAACTATAGATTTCAGCCTAGAACACAGACTTTGACAGTGTTTATACCTTTCGTAAGAAGTTTAAGAGCAATATAAAATTACTCCCTAGGCTCTGGGAATGTTCTCTTTCATTATCTCTTGTTTTAAAGAAACGTTCTCCAGGATTATCAACACCTGTTAGCAGCGACTGTGTATTTCTGTCCCTTGTCAGCAAGAGCAGCTTCAGAAAATGTCATAACTGATCCTCATACTTAATATTTTTCTTATAAATATTTATTCTACTGCCCTGATGACTCTTAGTAAAGATGTGTCCCTATATGATCCAAGACATCAAGATCCAATACATGCATGGTCCTGTACTACAGACTACACAGCACAGTGATAGCAACACAGCTTATAAAGATACCATTATTAGGCCACAAATTCTAATTTGGAACAACTCCCATTTGCTGTGCTGCTGGCTCAGGGCATCCTCAAATGACTAGAGGGAAAGTACTAGAAGGAAAAAGAAACCTTTGTGAAGAGTTTCTTCGTCTGATTAAGTCTCCAAATAATTTCTGGTTGTTAGTTTACTTCCAATTATGTTTACTTCATTCTCACACTCTAATTTCTTTTTTATTATCAGATGTTATTGCAGTAACCACTGCAGATTAATTTACTATGGTTTGATGGCCATTTCATTGTTAATGCCTTCTGGGGAGCTTTGGCAAACTACATAGCTGTAACGTTCATCTACTCTGAAGAAGTAACTAGGATATGACACTTTTGGTGACAAGCAATAGTGCATGTTATTCTTCTTTTTAGAATTGATTGTTCTAAATAGAATTATCAAAAATATATTAAAAGGGTGAATAATCACAACCCTGAGGCAAAAAAAAAAGTGCTTACATTAGAAGAAAAATTATATTTATTTTCATCTACTTTAACAGGTTTTATGGGATAGTGTATTTTCCAGGCATTGGTGAGACAGCTGACAAAAATCACTCTGTTCCTGGATCTTTTCCCATATGTAGCTTTTTTTTTTTTAATTGCTGTTGAATTATTAACACTATTTGTATGAAAAAAGGATTCTAATGCCTATAAAATATTTTTGCCCACATTACTCACTCATTCCCTGTGTAACACGACAGCTTGTGGTTTATGACTTTATCATAATTTCAACGCTATTAATCTCTGTTGTTAAGCATAGTTGACATTTTCTGTGTAGGCAGTAGCAGAAGATAAACATGAAGAAAATGATGATTTAAGTACATTTCTTCTGTATCACAGAAGAATCTAGTATACAGTAATACTGCTAGACAGCAAAAAGCCTTCTTCTGGGAGAGAAGATAGTGATGCTGATGTGATGCTGCTAAAATTTTCCATTGTGGATGCACATTGTCATAGTAGGTAGCTTCATAAAATTGCTCGAGATTACTTTCCTCTCAGAAAAGGCACTGAATCTGTGCCCCTGAGCATGTTGTGCTCCTCTCCCATAGTTTTCTGACACCATAAGAACCATGGCAGCTTTGCTCAGCCATGTCCTGTTCTTTTTATGGTGTCTTTATACTGAAGGGAAATGGTTGCACTTCTTAAATCAGCAATCACTTTCTACATCTGTGGGGCCTCCCCATCTGCAGCTGAGAGAACCCAGACAGAGAAATCCAAAATAATGTATGTTCATGTAATACTTAGTCTCTTTCACACTGTCAGTGACAGGCATGGCCTAGGGAAAAAGGGTATAGCTTTCATATCCTTCTTCCTTGAAAGACACTGGACATCAGTTCGCTTGCGAGGGAGTGTCTAGTGTCTATGTTGAGAGGGCAACAGGATTAGTGAATTTATTCCTGCTTGAACCACTGGGAAAAATGACACTGTATTTTTCTTTCATTAAGCCCACTGAGAGTAATTAATAATAGCTGTTTGCACAGCTATTGTGCATGCTTTGCTAAAGGACAGATGACCAAATAGTGAAACTTGAGCCAAATACTCTTTTTACTTAAGAATTTGCATAGGGGTGTGGTTGGCAGCACTTGAAGAGAGAAAACTGAAAACAACTAAGTGCTTCAAGTGAGCAGTAAGCATAAAAAAAGGCAGGACATTTGTATATTTGCAGCTCAGATGCTTCTTTAGTGTCATCTGAAGTAGCTGCTATGGACAAGAAGCTAAAGCAAGGGTCTAAGGGGCTTCATAAAAGTCTCCAATGCAGATATTTATGTAACACTTAGCGTGGCTCAATTTGTGTTTGATAAGCTGATCCCTTCTCCTCCTGTTCACCCTCATACTATGCATGAAAGTGGCTCTGGGTCTTTGGGGATTTCCCAGCTCACTCTCAGCCCTCATCCCTCCTCCCTATACCAACACCATTCCCACCAACAACCATAGGACTGCAACACGCAGGTAAGGTCAACCTTTTTTTGTCACCATTAGAAAGAGGCAAATAGCCATTATAAGACTCAGTCTTATATTTAGGCTCTGGTTAGAAATCAGTTTCAGGAAGAAGCCTATTTCAGCAGAATTTGTCTGAATTCCTGCATTCCCAAGACAAAAAAATTAAAATCAGAAATAGAATGTGCTAACCCGGTCTTAATTTGAAGAAACAGAGTTTGGCAGGAAAATAAGGAACTAGCTGGAGTGGACCTTGAAGGCCCCATCAATGAGGAAATGAGTCAATCCATGCTTGTATATTCTCACCAAACATCCCTAACAGGTAGGAATGTGTATCAGCATTGTTGTATCCAAATCATATTGCGTGCCTCTAACAAAGATGCCTGTCATATTGTCCTAGACTAGCTTTCTTAACCCACAACACTTTCTTCTTGGTATTGATAAAAGGAGGACAATTTCTTTGCTAAGAATTAATGGAAAAATGAAATTTGCCGGACTCCTAGGAAAATCTTGCTGTTTCACCCAGCTGCACATGGAGACACCAATTTTAGCAAAGAACCCTGCAGAAGTTTATCGCTGAAGTGCATGGGAGACCAAGTAATTTCTCACCTGCCACCTGGCAGCTAATGGTAACATTTGCTCTCTGGATTGTTTTCACTGTGCTTCCAATATCAACAGAGGCAGCAGGCGATTCTGTGTTGATCACGGTAGCTCTTGATGTCTTTATCAGAGGCTTTCCTGTACAAAAGAAGCATCACAGTTTATCAGACCAAGCACACTGGACTCATGGTGGGACAGATGTCCTGGGACACTAAGTACTGACACAGGACAGGTGGATAAGGGAAAATGCTGGAATATGAGGCCACCTGCTCTTTGTAATATTACAGTGACACCAAATTCCACGGGAAAAGCTGTCTTGGAGAATGAAAAAGCATGCTTAGAGCAGAGGCAGAATAGCATTAAAACCATGTGGACACACATGAGAACCAGCTGAATCAATAAACACCAGTACAATTGGAGCTGCAGAGGGAGGTGTGCCTGGTACTGCAACCAAAATACCACCCTTTGCCAGAGGACAAAAACAGGAAAAAGAAGCCTGAGTGATGGCTACAGGCACGCTAACATTGTAGGAGGTTTAGAGCAACAAGCAAGCTGTTTCTACACGTTGATCATGTTTTCTTTAACCTACAGTGAAAACACTGGGATTGGGAATACCAGACCATAACCAGAAAGTTTTCTCATAATGGCTAGTGTAAAAGATGAGGGACATAAAAAAGCTCCTTCCTGTCTGATAACCTGTTCTGTTTTATCTGAAGCCTGTAGTAATGGTGTTATACAAAATCTCTAAAAGGATACCTGCTTTGCCTGCAACAAACTTTTCAGATTGTTTTTGGTGGGCTTCCGACACCAGTGACAGCAAGCGAGTGGTCAAGGTGTTCCCCTGCTGTTGTGGGATTAGCTATGGAGTTACCCATCGGGGGCTTGAGGAGGCTTCTGCAGATCCTTTTTCGTAGGGCCAATGTAAAGTCATGCCTGCATGACACGAAAGAGCTCAGAGGTACTGGGGCTTAGCTGTGAGAGAGGGGAGTGAAGTGGCAGAGCTGGGTTCAGGCAGCCCGCTCTCCCAGCCAAAATACTCTGGAGGCAGGATGCTGGCAGGAGGGGCAGGACGTGACAACAGCGCTTTAAATGGTATGGGGTTTGGGTGTTTTTGACTCAGGGTTGTAGTTTCAAACTCATCTTTATCCCAAAACCTATAAACACATTTTTTCCCCTTTAAGTAAAGGGTCAGATCCAAACCAGGTTCAGATATTGTCATCTGCCTGCAGAAGCTGCAGTTTTCGGCAAATGTCTACCACTGGCTTCATTTATGTGTTAATCTGGAGGTGACCAAAGAAGAAAAGATAGAGGTGAGAAAAAGAATTTGGTTTCACTGAGCTCATGGAGAGTCCCAAAAATCTAATTCAGCCCTAACTATAAATTGCTCCATATAGCTATATTTCCAGGGCTTTTAAAAGACGCCTTTCATCTGGAATTCCTGTCATATCAGCTAGGGGGGAAGAAGTGGTGGCATTTTAAAAAAATTTTCTTTTGGTCCCTTTAATGCCTAAGAATAGCAAAGTAAAATACTACATTTTATTGTTGAAATGTCTCCAAAAGTTTTGATACTTTATGGCAAAGCCCAAATAAAAGAAAGAAAGAAAAATTCTTCAGTTATCCTTCAGCATTTTATTTTCCTGATTGGTTTCCACGATCTCATAAAAAGATTAAAAATCTATTGGCCGTTCAACCTATAAATGAGTAGCAAGCCATTGAGAAAAATGGAAGCATATTCCACTGTCTGTTTTTCCACGCATTTGTTAAACTAATCAGAAAACTCTTCAATGAAATAAGCTTTCAGCCCCCACTCTTGATCCCTCTAAAGATGGTCTCAGCTTTCCAGTTTTTATAGAGAAAGTAATTTCATTAAGCCAAAAAGGTTGTTGCTTTGTTCCAAAAAGTGCTCAGTATCTCATTTTGATATTTATGGCCTTATTTTATAAGATGTTCAGCTCTTTGCCTTGGATGTGAGATGGAAATGTATACCAGTCCCTAAGCAAAGTTCAACTTGAGTCTGGGATGCATGAATGTTAATTTATCTAAAAAGGTTAAACTACAGCCTTGATTATTAATTGCAATCAAAAAGCTAATAAATAGCCCGTCTGTGCCATATGTATACCTAACACTCTATTTATTTTTCTATAGCTTCATGCAAAATTGTCTCCATAAATTACATTGTACAAAGACTATGGCTCTTCAACTCACTGGAGCAACATGGACAGAATAGCAGTTTTGACTGATGATTTTTTTAACGTCATGTTCAGTTTCCTCCAGAGGTTTGCTGTGGAGTTGCTCCTTGTAAAACACTGTACAGTCTTAGCAGCAGCACCACTGCCCTGCTGCTCAGGATTCAGCAAAGGTATTCCTCATCTGCAGTAATGTAGAAAGGATCACTCTCTTTAGTTTTGCCTACATATAATAGGTAGCTCTGAGGCAGATCTTCCTTTTCTACCCTGGGGTATTCAGCTCTTCTTCTAGGGGACAGACAAGGTCTCTTTCCAGTTGGTTTACTGATCATCAGAACCTCACTGCTGGTCATTGCTGCGTTCTTAGATTTTCGTTATGCTCCTTTTACCTGAAATTTTCTCTGTGTTTGCTTTAAAAAACTCAAACTCATCAACTGCTGTTCCTTCCTCTAATTATACATGGATACATCGGCATCTGATGGTAACTGCACACACACTGGAGGCCTCCAAATGCTTCCACATTCTGGAGCAGTGAAATGGCGAGGTCCAAAAAAAATCAATTAGCTTTCTAGCATTCCTAATGTGTTTCCTTTTGCCTTTGTGATAAATAGGATTCTCCTTCTCTAAGACCTCTCTCTGCCTCGTCTCAGTCCTTAGCTGTCTCTTCTGTCATCTCACTCAACAGCTCCTTATTTGTGTTTGCTGCTCTGTCCTTCTACTGGTCCTGAGGTGGTTGTAAGCTTCCTGACATTGCCTACACAAACCTTGAAGAGGCTGGATGCGTGCACTACCTCCTGTTTCCCTTGGCTTTTATTTGGGTGGGTTTTCTTTAGAATGGAAATCTAAACTAAGAAAGGATATTTAGTCTGCTTTAGAACTCAACTGTTACTGGAGAAATATAAACATAGAGGTTAATTTTTTGTGAACCTCTATTTGCCAGCAATTGAAACAGTTTCGGTCATGCTTGTGCCACAATGGATCGAATACGATATAGGGCTTGATCCTGCAAGAGGCTAACTCTTCAGCTCTGGTATTTTTCAGGCTTGCTTAACATACATCTGAATAAGTCCTTCGATCAGTCTGTTAGACTTGAAGAGATCAGCAATAGGTTTAAAATGAAGCATATGAATTGGGAAGCCTGGGTTGCACTGCCCATACAGGCTGTGAATAACCAGGATAAGCACTGTCTTGAGTGTATGTCAGATGCAGCAAGTGAGAAAAAGCACTGATCTCTTGCAGAAATCCACAAATCTCACAAACTGTTTGTGAAAGTTGGACTACACCTCAGGGTTTTTCAGAGTTCACACCCTGTGTTTTTACCTGTCCACCTCTGCTGACCCACCCTGCCCACCCAGCATCCACAGACATTTCTGTCCAGAATCACACACATGGCAGGGACCATCTTGCAATCACAGAGAGTGAACTATTACCTGCTAGAGTGACAGCAATGGAGACAGTGTCAGATCCCAGGGCATTGGAGGCATTGCAAGCATAGAAACCCACATCAGCTTCCACAGGTGCCAGAATCTGCAAGGAGTCATCAGGCTGAAGTAATATCCTGGAGTAAAGCAGAAAGAAAGATGTAATAGTCTCCTAGTTTGTGTGAGCATGAATCCATTTACTGGGATTTTTTCAGGTTTAGGTATTTTTTTTTTTTACAGTTCAGGCCTTTAGGTTATATTTGAAAATCTATTAAGAAATTAAAGTCTTACGTTGAGACTGTGAGCTGTGATTACTTAAACTAAAGTTTAGTCTCATTCCCAGTTCTTCTACTGCTGATTTGTATATTAGAGAAAGATTACTGAGTATTTAGGACATCTGTCCATGGTTTGTGAAACCTCTTCCTCTGCTGTGTTGCTTCCTGTATGATGCTGAATGAGTTGCCTAGCCTCCACGTCTCCCAGTTACGCAAAGCAGGAGTAGCCGTCGTAAAGGAAAAGCCAAATCATTGCAGGGGGAAAGTCACAAAACCTGCTGAAGCTGGGCAGAAAGAAAGGAAATGAACCGCAAGCTCTGTGTCAAAGGCTCCAAATTATTTGATTGCTGGCCACTTGTACAAACTTAGTGGTCTTGTTTGCTCCCCTAACAATCAGTGAAGACAGAGGGGAATACTCAGCTCCTCCTGGGGCTGAACAAACTCTTTCTTTCCTCTGCCAGTGAGAGGAGCCTACCATGATCTCATTGTACTGCCCATGTTTAAATGGGATGAATGTGGTCTTGGAGCTCTTATGAACTGCTTCTTTTACAGTCTGTTTTTGCAGTGGTAAAAGTCCATCAAGGTCCTGATGTATACCTGTTAAGCAAGAGTTCAGTCCATGGACTCTTGTCAATGCTTATGTTCCTTCATTTTCACCACAGTGTATGTGATGATTGTTGTTTCTTTCTTTTAATTTTTTGCTGAAATTGTTGATAAAAACAATGATAAATTACTTTTCTCATCAGCAAATTTCAGCAGCTGTTGAATGTATACTCTTAGTTGAGGCTATGATTGACAGTGACAAGGGTGGAAGTGGGGGAGGGATATGCCTGTAAAACATATGCAATAAAAGTCTGCTCACAATGGATGAGTTTCTTTCCATTCCCATCCCCCCTCCCACCCCACCCCCCCAATGAAAACTGTTGTCTCATGGACCAAAAAGCAGCAGATACTTGATCTCGCACAGCACTGTGGGTGGTAGATCTCTAAAACAAACCAGATCAGGGCCACCCATAAAAGTCTATTATAGGAAAAAATCCAGAGTTAAAATTCTTTTTTGACCCTTTTTTTGAATAATAATAACTATTATTAATAAAAGGAAAAAGCTGCCTTTTGTGAACCAAGTTTCGCAAGTGCCTGGAAAAATGCACATTAGCAAAACAAACACTAACCATTTTAAAATTGCATCTTTGCTTGCACAGCAAAAAACCCCAATGGTTGAAAGAATTCCCTTACCAATTCTGCTTTCAAGGATCTTTTCTTTCTTACCACTTAGCAATAAACAAGGCAGACTTCTGGTTAGCCACTGCTAACAGTGCCAGCAACTAGTACATTTCTTTACTTACAAGACTAGTGTTAGCATTCATCTCTATCTCACACGGAAATTTTTTAGTTTAACTCTGACAGGTTCAGTCTCTACATGGAGTTCATTAGAGCTTCAGAATTTGTCCCAAATTATACTGGCATATAGCAGTTAAAAGTTGTGTGTGTTTTGCCTGCATGTGTGCAAATGCAGTATGTAGGCTGATCAGTCAGTCCTAAGTTGAACTAACATCTGCAGCCCCCTGAAAAAAGTTTTTAGAAATTTTTCTTTCACCTTCAGGTTGAGGAAGGAGCTTGCTTAATATTGCAGCTTGTAAAACACAAAGATCATAATTTGTTTGTTGTTAATCAGCTCTGCTGATATATATTTCTGTCAGTTTAAGGCACCTCAAGATACATCACAAATATTTTTAGAAATAGAAGTAGGCCAGATATGTACCTGTCTTTAAAAAAAATAAACTCCAACGCAGCTCCATCTTCCTATTTTTTCTATCCCAGTTTTAATGTCCTTCTTTAGAAACAAAGCTAATGTCCTCTTCTTTTCAATAATTCTTTCTGTTATTTGTGTGTCACAGTTTGGCATAGTTGCTTTTCTTGAAAGTAGATCTTTTATTATCCCTTTTTGTATAGAATGATTTTGGCTGGATTCCCTATTTGCTCGTAGACTGCTATTTTTGTTAGGTATTGAATTGCTTGTCAGTGGTGAAAAAAATACCAGCTGTAGCAGTTCTTTCTGTCAGCAGCATGTCTTCAGAATCTCATTTATGGACTTAAAGCATTACAGCTTAATGTGTGATCAGTCTCATCTCAGTTGCTCCATGCTGCATTGTTTCCAAGACAAAAATGTATTTTACAGGACCCATATCAGTGACTAATTCAGATGGCACCTCACAAACACCTACCTCTGTATCACCTACTGTTTACATTCTGCTTCATGTCCGTTCATAGAAGTTGAATTATCAAGTACCAACAGGTATGGAAATTACAGCATACTCAGAAGGCTTAGTAAATAATGCATAAATCCCTCAAAGATTTTTCACTTTGATTCCTAAGGAAGTTAATCTGAATTTTCTTTGAAATAAAACATTTTCCGTAATTTACAGCAGTCTCCAGGCTTTGGTATAGATACTAGCAGGCTCTGGAACTGTACTCAAAATGCATGCAGATGTTAATCTGACACTTCAAACTTAGGACAAAGTATGGACACTCATGTTACATATGTACTGAGGCTGAATATGCAGACTAAAGTAAAGGATCTTTTACTGGAACCACACAGCTATTTTAAACTGCTGCAGCTTTTTTCTATCATATGTTTTCATTCTATCAAGTAACTGAAAACCGGCTATTTTGGGGGGCATGCGTTACAAGTTTTTGTGATAGTACCTAAACTAAAGAAACTAATTTTTGCAAGTGAAGCTATGTAGTAGGAGTCATAAGCACTTTTCGGTGGATGGCACAGCTCACGGAAGGAAGGAGGCAATGGGAGCAGAGCCAGTCCTTGCAACATCACTGATCCAGACAAAATCCATGGCCACAATGCATGAGACTGCCTTTGATCTCAGTATTAAGTAATACACAATAAAGACAGCTATCAACCAACCTCAAACCAGCAGCCTACACTCTAAAAATCACAATACAAACCAGACACAACTGGAATCTTAGTAGGGCATGAGCTGAGGGACTCAGCACAACCCTCTGACCTTCCTCACCAAAAGTGTGAAGGCCCATCTATATTAATTTTCTTATTCCCATTAAGACAGAGCTGGAAAACTCTTTTCTCTATTCAGTGGCTGGCAAAGTACGAAGAAGACAAGCTGCAGAGCTGCAGGAGAGCTCAAGCACAGCAAACAGCACCTCATGCAGATAGGCGGGCAGTTTACAGCAGTACACTGTGAGACTGCTTAAACTGTGGCTTTCATTTACAGAGCTGACTGGCAGCCAGCAAGAACATTCTGAGCCAAAATCAGAATACTGCTGTTAAGAACCCAGCAAAACATCCACAACTCAGTTTTTATATACCCCATCATTTCTAAACTTCCATTAACTCCAAAGTTACAGATGCTGAGTATCTCTGAATCCCAGAGCACTGCTCATTTCCTCCCCACCCACCAACCTGGAGGAACCGTTAAGTGATGAGTACAGAAAGACTTTCATGAAGTGGAAAGGGCCTTAAACTTTAAAGAAAAGTTGTCAATGAATAATGCTACTAACTGGTAAATAAACTGTATTTCCCTGAGTCTTTCCAATAGAAATTTTGAGCACACGTAGTTACCTGATAATTCAAAAATACAACACAGCATTCAATGCTATTTCAGCCAAACTGAATGGGAAAAAAATGTTTAAAGGCTTTGTAAAATTAAAAAAAATAATCCAAGCTAAAATTTCAGAAATCAAAAGACTGTCTTATTGCCAGCTAAGTATGCCTGTTGCTAGACCATGGTGTTAGGTAAACTCAATTTTCTCATGAGTGTAGTGTCCAGAGATAACCACATATGGACTTTATGTAACCTCCATTCCCTTTCAAACATACCACAGAAATCACAGTCATTTCAAGTAGAGAAAAAAATAAAATCCCTTAATGGCATAATTCCCACAGGATGTAACCACTGGCAATCAAAGTATATATATATGAAACTTTTGGGGGACCATAAAGATATTTTCACAGGCATATGGCCAAATAAAGGTATACTATAGGCCCATGTCTTGATTAAGACTGCATGTCTTGGAAACAATGCTGTGTGGAGCAACAGAGACTGCATGTGATTTCCACAAGAGATATGCTCTTGCTCTTAGTGTCCCCTCCCCCTCCAAAAGTTACCATTGTTCCTTTGAATCCTAATATACTTAGCCTTTACAAACAGAGAGACAAGAACCAAGGAATTCAGTACATTAGAGAAAACAGTAATTTTGGAGTGACTCACTTGCCAAAGTGAGAAAGGAGCTAACAAACTAATGGTGTAACTATGCAGAAGGAGCAATTGTACCTAAATCAAGACTTGACCGGATGATCCACATGCACCACGCTGGAAATTTGCATTGAAATCTTGTCTCATGTCCCAGGCTAACCTTATGACTAAATTCAAATGTCTTAACTGAGGTCAGTATCTGGTGTGGATAGAGCTGCTAGCAGATCCGTGGACTGCTCTGTTGTATCATGTTGGTTAATATAACTGCCTTTTACACTTTCTGCCTATCCTTATATACCACTTTCTCACAGAGCAGAACCAAAATGTAAAATCTCAAGTATAAACATGAGAAATTATGTATGTTATCAACATAGTTAAGAATATAACTAGCATTGAAAATAATCTCATTTTGTATGCCCTTGCACACAAAACAAATGACATGAAGTGATAGGCAGGTAAAGGCTACCTGAAGGAAAACCAGCATAATTTCTGTGGTACTCTGATAAAAGCATCTTGTTACTCAAGATCTCAAGCTACACCTGGGGCCAACATGCTGGAGTTTGAACAGATGAGGATGCACCACTCGCATCAGAAGACTAATTCTTAGAGATAAGTGTGTTGGGATGACTGCATAGCTGCAAATATTGATGAAGTTTGGTTCCACAGTTTCCAGCCTCCATCAGAACATACAAGGGAACTGTGATTGTAATTCTCCCTGAGTTTTACCCTGGGACAGTTTTATGCACAGATACACATGTGGAAGGCAGGAGCCTCACTTCCTACATCTTCTGCTACTTCAGTCACGTCAGAGAGACCCTGCTGGAGCACTGTGAAAAATGCAATTCATATCTCCAACAGGGAATAATAGTAATAATCAATAATCAGTCTTCGTATCTTAAAACCAGTCTTCATAGCAGAAACCTCCACCTTCAGATGGGAAAATACACTCAGGCTCCCAGCCTCCAGATGTGGAGTGTTTTGTTGACTGCATTAGGCACTTATCTACTTTAGTGCTTTAGAAACTCTTCTTTCTAGTTACTGAAACAGAAGTAAGTTTGCCACAGCAGACTGACCCACCATCCAGACCTTGGTGAAGACCTACAGTGCCCTGTTTACCACTTCACGTGGTAGCCTTTCTTTCTTCTATGAGATCAGACTACAGCAACATATGGTTTTGTCCATGTGACTCACCATATAGTAAAACATGGAAACTGAAGAGTAAAAATATAAATTATTTTCTTAAAGGTTAAAGAATGTGTTTTACCTATCGTTGTATTTCACCTCCTCTCCATTCTTAGCCCAGCTGATGGTGGGCTTTGGGTTTCCCACTGCTTCGCAGTGAAGTAGCACGCTCAGTGTGCCACTGGCTAAGACCACCGTCTGTCCCAGGTGGGTAACAACCTCTGAAGCAGAAAGCTGTTGAGCTGCTGAAATCTTTCGGAGGATGGCAGGCTTTTGATGTGGTCTGTGCAAGCCATTTGCTGGGTCTACAGAGGTGGGAACAAATGCTTCAGCAGATGATGTCCTCAGGGAGCTGGTAAATCCAGAAACATGTCTGTGGAGAGGGTACTCCACCGAGGCTGAATCTACTCTTCGCCTTGATGCTTTGAGGACAGATTCCTGGTGCTCCAAGTGGCTCTTGAAAACCTCGTGAGCCAGCTGCACAACAAGCTGCTCAGTGTAGACATCTTTAAGCTCCTCAGGCTGTTGAGACAAGTTCCTTATGATATCGTCCAAATGTTTCTGCTCTGTGACCATTGTAAATGGCAGGCTATACTCCTGGCTCTGGTCCTCCTCTGAGGATGTGTTTCTCTCTGTGGACTCCTGGGCTTCCCAGGGCTCCAGACTTTCCCCTGGCCAGCCCCGGTGCTGTAGCAACCTTGAGACAATATCATCATACCAGCTGCTGGGATCAGTAAGGTGCCCTCGCTTTTCAGCCTTGCTCCCATTTAAGAGAATCCCATTCATATGTTTCTCCTGTGTTCGCAAAGCTTCATTTAAGCTGGCTTTTCTCACAGCCTCTTCCTCCCTAATACCAGTTGGCTGCCCAGCAATGATCTTCTTGTTGCTTCCAATTAGTTTAATTACAAAATGCTCCCGAGCTGGCCCTGCTGTGCAGGTGTATGTCCCAGTGTCTGAAGGTTTCAGGCGATGGATTTTCATATATCCATAGGGTGCAACAGTGATGTGAGCTGAGCTGATGAGCCTCTTGTCATCTTTCTCCCAAGTGATCATTGATTTCCGGAACCTCCTTGTGGGGCATCGAAGAATAACGGAGGTTTTGGGCAGCAGGTAGGCATAGCCACCCACAATAAAGTGTAGCTTCTTCTGCTTCCTTGTCTGGATGTAAACTTTCTTTACGGCCATAATATGGGGGCTTTGCTTATGAGCTGGCCTGTTGTGCCCTGAAATATCATTGATACTATTAGTATATGATACCATTAAAAAAAAACAAGCAGTTTACTTTGGTACTAGCAGCACAACCCATTAGACAGTAATGGGAGAAACTGGCCACCAGCTGCTGAACATTTCATTGGAGCAATCCAAATAAAAGGAATAACAAAGCACACTTCAGGAATGCAAAAGTAATCCCACCCAGGGTACATGCAGAAACCAAAGAGCCAGGGACGTAAGCTTTAGGCAGTGAGAAAACTTGAGTAGAAATGCAGTTAAAGTATTTAAATTTAGATTGTTCCTTAATAAACACATTGAAAAGAGAAGTCTGTACCATCCAAACCCTCAAAGGCAATATGATCTTGCAGCTCACAGCAGTAAGGAAGAATCAAAGTGGTGCTACCTCAGGGAGTAACGTTGAAGAGAGCAAAAGTGTCTGGACTAGGCTTAAAAACACAGTAAATACTATTAAAATGCAGTAGTTCAGTGTGTTCTTCTAGTTTCCAGACAGGGATTGTTATTGTGAAGGACCCAATAAAGCAGCATAGGTATATTATTAGTAAATATCATGCAACAGTTGGTCCCAGCTTTGGTTGTCTATGTCAGATGCTCTTTTCTTTCTGACACACCCCACATTTACCAGTTTCACAGTCCATAGTCAGCTTTAAGCTGAAGCTAGGCTGACTTTTGAACTTCCATGTATCCAGTTGGCTCACCGCAATCGGGGGAAGGGCATTCAGGGAGACTCAGAGAGACTACTGCTTGTGAAGGGCACAACAAATGCATGTCAGAGCAACATAAAATACATCTAACTTATGTTGCATGGGTCATTAGAAATCTCAGGCCATAGAGGGTTCTGAGTGGCATAATGAAATAATATGTTTTTTAATTATCTTTGACAAAATCCCTTACCAACTATTTTCTTTGCAGCTGTTCTAGCAGAGAGTTTATTTGCAGCTGCCCTCAGGCTGCTGTGCTGTATCTCTGAGCCTCTACATTCCAGTTGTGAAATTTAGATCTATATTTTGGTCAGAATTTTGAGCCAGTTCTTCCAGAAACTAGTAGCTCCCTTCCAGCACATTGGCTCAGACCCAGCTCAAACAGTAAAATTTATAGCTCTCATCCACTGACTTGCCTTATTGCTAAACAAAGCATACTTGTTCACAGACAGAAAAACTCAGCAGCAGCAGCCATTCGGCAAGACTGAGTAAAACTAGTGCAAAAGAAGGTTATGGAGCAGGTGACAGGACAAATTTTTTAGCGACTGACACCCAAGCCCCCTTTCCCCAGAGGCTCCCAAGCAGCTTTTCCACTTACTTGCACAGGTGCCTACTGCACAGGGCCTGATCAAGGATGAGAATGGCAAAGGTGCGCACAGCGAGGAATTGATGATGACAGAATCCCCGTTTTTCAACATCTTTCTGCAAATGGCATTTCGACTCTGGGTGCCCTCTCCACAGCTCACTGAACACTAGGAACAGAATGAGAAACATTAGGAGCAAGGCGTATTGAGAGCAAAAGTGTGCTCCTTGACACATGCACCTTTTCACCTCCCGTATCCACATTGCACACACATAGCACAATACAGATCAGTTACAGCTTTCAAAATATCACAGTGGAATAAAGCAGAGAGCACCTGGCCATGCAGTTACAAACAGTGTAGGCACAGTAGGGAGATGAAATATCTGGTATTTTCTGTCCTTTGAGGCATTGAATCTTCCCATGCTCCCTTTAGCACTCATATTTTCCCTCAGATGGTGTCCCTTGTTTCAATGGTACTGTGCTGCAGTACAAAGCTCGTCTTTGCAGTTTGTTTCTATATGTCTGTGTTTGCTGCTCTGCGTCTACCACACATGGCTTACACTAAAGAGTATGAACCCTTTAGTACCAGACTGTGGTGCTTGATGCACAGGTGGGCATTGGTTGATAGAATTCAGCATGCTTATTTTATTTTACATTTATGTATACAGCATCACAGAAAGTGAGAATACAGACAGCACCATTGCACTGGGACACAGGCAGTAGTCTGTAAAGGTGCTGGAAAGTGGGTTGAGCCCTGTAAAGCTGTTAGCACAAAAATTCATGTGCTCTTCTGTTATGTGTAGGTGCACACATGTAGGAATGGGAGTTGGAAATGAAGTGAGTGAGGGAAAACACACTAAAAGTAAGAAGAACAAAAAAACATGGCAGCCTTCAAGTGAAATGGGGAGGAGAGAGCAAAGTCTGATTTGATTTTAATAAGGGCCCATATGCAGAAATGTGAGTTGTATGGATGTGAACATAAACCATGTAGCAACTTCTTGTGAAGAAGGACAGATTTGGAATAGAATTACTCTCTTCACTGCCAGAATGACTGTGTGTCTCCTGGCAGCAGACTTCATGAGAACATCCACTTATTTAAGTAAAATGTCAAGATAGATCAACATAAGGTGCAGGTGGAACAGCTCCATGAGATAACTGGTGTTTCTTTCACAATTATGACAATTTCCACCTCTTTCCTCTTTCACCTTGGGGAAGTAAACATTACTCTTCGTTGATGTCTTGGATGAGCATAAGCATAGGCATGGATAGAGGCAGAGATTTATTGTTTTGAGCATGGCTTGTGTTTAAGCCAGAAGGGAGGTCGTAATGGCTAAACCACATCTATGGAGGCAATCTCCAAAGATGAACGTTGAGCTAGTGATCACATCCACTACCAGGATGATAAGCACAGATTACAGGACAAAACTGGGCATAACATGCTTTGTGCAGTCTGAGATCATTGACCCCTTTATCCCAAGTGACTGAAGAATTTCACTGCCAAGAACAGCACAATACTCATTCATACGAATAACATACCTGTGACCAGTCAGAGAGAAGCCACTCATTCGGACAATCCTCATTTTTGCAGACTTGTTGAGTAACTGGCCTTGGTGTGGAGCAGAAGGTTTCTGGGAGCTCTAACAAGCTTCCGTCTGCCAGGCGCTGCTTACAAAGTGTATCTCGCTTTTGGACACCACCGCCACATGTCTGTGAACACTGTGAGAAATGAGAGTCAGCCACACTTGCACCATTGCAACTTGCAGCAAAAACTACTTGTAAATTGGGTAGAAATCAACACTCAGTTTGGGCCAAGCAGAAAATATTTAAAAAAAAAAGATCCAGGGATATCATAGCAGCCTTCTTTTAAAAATGTCAAAAACATTGGAAAGTAGAAAACAATTTATTTTGCTAATATTTACAAAAACTGCTTCAGTACTTCTGAATTGTTCTGTTTTCAGGCATTGGTACAAAAAACACAGAAACAATGGGTAGGGATTGCAGTATGGATGTTGAAAAGTTGTCCTCTCCTGTAACCACTACCTGGAAAATGAAACACTTGCACATGATGTGGAGGATCCACATCCTAATGTCTCTGCCTGAGCTCTGACTGCACTACTGACAGTGCCAGAGAGTGCAGAAAAGTGTTCTCCAGCAGCAGGTGATTGAAGACCTTCATTTCCAGGATGTGATTATACATATTAGACAACAGTAGCTATGAACTACATAGTTAGCTTGAACTAAATATTCAATTTTAGCATGTTAAAAAGAGGTTTTTGTTGGCAAGAAAAACAAATTAAAATTTTATCAGGAACAGCATGGTGAGTACGACCCGAGAGGTGATCGTCCCCCTGTACTCGGCACTGGTGAGGCCTCACCTCAAGTACTGTGTCCAGTTTTGGGCCCCTTACCACAAAAAAGACATTGAGGTGCTGGAGCGGGTCCAGAGAAGGGCAATGAAGCTGGTGAGGGGTCTGGAGAGTAAGTCTTATGAGGAGAGGCTGAGGGAGCTGGGGTTGTTCAGTCTGGAGAAGAGGAGACTGAGGGGAGACCTTATCGTTCTCTACAACTACCTGAAAGGAGGTTGTAGAGAGGCGGGGGTCGGTCTCTGCTCCAAGGAGAGAAGTTGTTGGGGTTTTGTTGGTTTGTTGGGTTTTTTTTATCAGAAAGGAGGTTGTAGAGAGGCGGGGGTCGGTCTCTGCTCCAAGGAGAGAAGTTGTTGGGGTTTTGTTGGTTTGTTGGTTTTTTTTTATCAGAACTAGGCTGATGGTTGGACTAGATGATCTTAAAAATCTCGTCCAACCTAGACAATTCTATGATTCTATGAAATTTCAGAGTGTGATAAATAAAATTTTCCCCTGTTTATCACTTTTAGTTCCTTTAGTAATTTTCTCATTTCTTGTTTCTGTTGCTAGTACAGCTCAAAACTTAACTGTTCAGCCAAGAATGTTTGTCCTTGAAGACTTCTTACATTATGGCATTTCTCTGGTTTTTAATTCATGCAAAAACTGTATATCTATATTTAGTCTGCTGTTGGTTCATAAGGTTAATATAATAAACCATTAAATATCCATGCAGCCTTTTTATATTTATGGCTGTCATGACAGCATATGTACTCTTTGCAAAAGGTAAGGAGGAAGGTTTATTTGAGTCACAGTAAGTTGGGATGATTAATATCCAGGGAACCCACCTCCCCTCTCTCTTTAATGTAAATATCCCTCTCTATATCCATTTTCTGCCCAATCGGGGCAGGAAATTCTGAACAAGCGGATTCAGTAGCTTTCCTGAATCTTTTTTGTAAACTTGGTTGCTCAGCTCTTTTTCTGTGGATCTTTTTCTTTGGGGGGGTAACAGGCTTCCAGTTCTTCTGCTTAGTCCAGCCAGCTAAACTCCTTTTCCCCCTTTTCCAAGAAAAGAAGGAGGAGCTTGCACTACTCTCACATGACCAGGAGTTTCTTATAGCTTGCAACAAGGAAATTATGCCTGAGAAGCAGAAAACCGTATGAAGAAGTATTTAAACTTGTACTCAAGCAGTTAAAAAGGGACTGTTTTAGAAAACCTTGCAGTAGTGAAGGCCCCTTTGCTCTTAGAGCGAGCTGCATAAACTTTCATAGTAGCCTGATTATTTAGGAGATATATATTTTCCCTGAAAGACGAAAAGGAAGTGCAGAAAAACCTATTTACGTTCAGTTTGGTTTGCTCTCTAATGAGTAAAAACAACTTTTGTCCTACTTCCTTAGAATGCTACAAAGCTCAAAGGCTTTCAAAAAAATTAAACAAGTAAAGAAATAGTTTAGTTTTCAACGAAAGAAAACATTTATCAACCTTTCATTTGAAGACAAGTCACTCCTAAGGAAAGAATAAATCAACTAAAATATGATTAAAAGTACTATTTCAAGATTTCCTAAGGACTGTCATCATATACCAGGGCCAAAATGGGCTAGGCATTGTATGAGTACAACAAAAGCATGTTCCTTCTGTCAATCAGTCAAATCCCAGGAAGTCTCCCTGCCCTTCCATCCCTGCCAGATAGAAGAGTAAGGCAAACCAGATCCTTTCTTTCTTTTGCCTTTCAGTCACTTACATAACTTTGTTCTGTGAAGAATAACTTGCTACTCAACACCAAACTATTGCTTAGTGCCAGAGAGTGCCAAACACCTTAATGAGATTCCTCCTAGTCTCCAGAAATGCCCTTCTAGGACAGTCCTGGATTATTGCACTGCAGCTCTGCCTGTACCTGTATTTCACCTCTGGAGTCTTCACTACCCTGGGATCTTTGCTGATTTTTCTCTATTGGAAGCTCCCAGCCCTCACATTTTTCCAAGAAAGGGGGTAATCAATGACAGCAACATCTGCTTGTATTTACAGGAAATATGAAACAGTAGTTTTTAGAAGACCCTCATTCAGACATATCCCATCTGAATTATGTGCTCTCCCTCTCTGCTGTTCAGAAAGATCTCACCGCACCATTACAACAGAGAAATCTTGTATCACAGGGTGGATTCACCTCACCTACCCAAGTAGGTGAAGTGTGGCTGTTTGAACTATGACTCCTGATATTTCTGCTGCCCACAGCTTCCGAGTGGAGTCAAGCCCAATATCCCCTCACATTTCCTTACAGGGAATCTGGGACTTTGCCAGGTTACCAACTTTGCAAGGAGTGGCATCTCCCCACGTTGCTGCCTGATTATACCTAGTTCAACAATTAGCTTAAGCAAACATGAGACAAGGCTGATACCAAAGAAGACAACCTATACAACCAATTCTGACAGCCAGTTGTTCCTGGCTTTGTGCTGCCTTCCCCCATATGCTAGGGTAAGCATTTGTGTGGCTGCAGAGTGAATTGGAGTGGAAAATTAATATACGCTAAAACTAATTGTATTTCTGGCTAGCTTTAACCAGGACCATTATGTGATTGCACAACACTTCTGGAGATATAAGGAGGTGGGTGCTATAAGGCCAAGAAAGATTCCTATAGCAGCTATTGTCTCTTTTGGTAGAAGTGCTGGCATAAGTCATCCTAAACTGCTAGTGGAACTGTGGCTTTGGCCTCTCTCACAACATTCATTGCTTTGGTGTCTGCTTTGCTCATACAACAATCTGTAAAGGATAATTAACACAAAGAATTGATGGTCACTGTTGAAAGCAGAGAGGGAAAGCAGGCCATTGCTCTGCCTCTACGAGCATCTACGCACATGCATACAATGCACAGGATTTAGGCAAAACCACCATTTCCATTGTTTGGGAGGCAGGAAAGCTGGTCTGTTCTCAAACTTGTGGAAAAGGGCAATTATTAATGAAAAGTAAAGGGCTAGGCAACTGTTGCTGAGCACTATAACTGTTAGCAGTTTGGGGCAGTAGCTGAATGTTTGAAAGGATGTCATTCTATGGTCAGTCCTGCTTACAGGGACAGTTGAGGAAGGAGTTGTCTTACCCCTCAGCTCTCCCAGGTAGTTTAGTTTTGCACTGCTCAAGATAGTGGGACTACAGCTGGACAAATTTTGGCCTTACTATCAAAAATTAATTCTCTGCTATGATTCTACAGTAAGATAAAGCGTCTGCAAAGGGGAGTGAACATTTTGCTTTCAGCAGGTCTTCCAGATGCTTTCTAAGGCTTGATACTTCGAAGTTTAGAAAGGGCTTTTTACAGTATGAAGAAAAAATAGCTAGAAAAGGATCTGAAAATGTTACCAGTTTTCCCATGCTGACTCTGCTGTCAAGGCATTGTTCAAATTATCTTTGGAGGAAGGATAGCACTGAGCAGCTAAAAAAGAACGCTGCGACTGAGACTATGGCACTTACTCAGTAATAAAACAAAGGAGGTTGAAGATGTACTAATGAATGTCTCCTATTTGAGGTCTGCAGAGAAGATATTTATAGGGCCTTGTAAAAATGAAAGCTCATATCCACTTTCCCGCAGAAGCACATTACTGAAAACAAGATAAACATCCTAATGGATTTAGCTAAGAAGCTGAATTATTGAAAAATAAATAGTCTTGAATCTGTAAAGACATATTTAAAAAATCACTTGGAATGTTCCAACACTGATAATTATTGTGTGTTTATCTGCCAGGAACACTGGGGCTTCTCAGGGCATTTAGTTCAGACAACACTTCCTTAACAAGCATAAAAGGCCTTAGAAAAGAAAACATTGCTCATTTCAGTTTAAATCTTTTGTTTGTTTGTTTGCTTGAAACTATTGTGAGAGAGTGCTCTGAAAAGCACGACAAACTCCACAGTTGAGACCAAAGAAATGGCTTCAGACCAGCCTGCGTGGAGAACAGATGTGACCCTCTAGTGTCAGAGAAGCTTTAAAGGACCTTCTTTAGGGCAAGGAGAGGACCTTCCCACAGGGCCTTCCATCTCCCAGTAGGTGAGGAACACTCTCAGGGATCTGGGGAGAAGGGAGGTGTTGTGGGTCCCTTAATGCAAGGAAACAAATCCTCCTGCAGGATTGCTCCTGCTGGAGGCCTCCAGGACAGCTCTGCTGCATCGCTGGAGCTCACTTCCAGGAGAAGTCTCAGCCACTCACATCCCATCCAAATGGTTTCTTCTATAACACGTTCCAGCAGTCAACAGCTGTAACAATCCCTAACTGCAACACACTAACCTGGTGGTGCAGGTTTTCACATGGAGGTCATCCATGGGAAACCTGTGTGAGACTGAACTGCGGGGCCTGGCTTTCCTATGGGGTGGGAATAACTGTACCGAGGAGGATGGTGGTGCAAAGAAGGAAGACAGATGTCTTTAAAAAATGAGATAATGGAAATGGATGGATTTTGATGGATTAGACTTTTTTTTCTTGCTCTATACTCATCTAAACAGAGGCAGAACACGGTAGGTAGGCAAGTACGTTTTTGTGCCATTTTCTTCTGGCAAAAAGTAAGGACAGGAAATATTCAGTGCCCATGTAGTGAGGAGCTATGTACACAGCTGGCCAGCCTGCAAAGCCTGTGGAAGTAAGTGCAAAAGAGCTATAATGTGACCTTCGTTAAGCTGCAGAAATGAACTGCAGCACAGGTGTATTATCAGTCGACAAATTAAAGCATGAAATAGCAATGAATTGTTTTAAACATAGGACTAATGCCATAGGCTAGTTATATAGCTTTGACAGAACATCAGGCTGGCATAATTTTTTTTCTTTTACTGGGATGGCTGCCCAAGCCCAGAGCCCTCCCATGAAGTACAGTTTCACAGACTTACTAAGTCTGTTAAGTAAAAAGCAGATTTTATAGGTGGAGACTGGTTAGGCATATGAAAGCACCATGCCAAGCGCTCACAGTTTTCTCATAGGATGGAATGAATCCTTGCACCCAGCAGAAGTGAAGATGTAAACTGGGCCTTTGCTTACACCTCCATCACAGAGCAAATTTTTCCTTTACTCATGACAACAGGGCAGGATCCTTTTTTCCTGTGGAGTATTATATCCAACAGGAGCACCTTTAAGTCTTTTGAATTGCACCAGTGTATTCATTTGCAACTGGATGGCGGAAAATAAGCTCCTTTCAGGTTGCTTTCCAAAGATGGAAACAAATCCATTGTGTAGACAGCAATTTTCAACTTTAGTGTAATACGGCATCCATTTCCCAAAGAGAAGTACCTAGCACTAATTTGTGACTCAGAAGGCTGGGGAGTGTTTCTTGTCCTAAACTAAATTATAATTTGAGAATATATGGAATACCCAGCATACTTTAGAGATTCTCTCCTCGTTGATCCTTATAGCTTTGTATTTGTAGAAACCTTGGCATTGCTAACCCAAATCCACTCACTGCAGCTGACCATCACATTCCAGATATTTCTGTCTGGAGGCTAGAGACAGCAGTTGAGAGTTCTCAGTGACTTTGAATTAGAAGTAGCTATAGTCATTATTTACCTCTGAAAACGTTGATGCATTTTTTTGAAGAGCAAAGGGCACACTTTTCCAGTTCTTTAATGGCTTGTTGGAATGATTAATGAATCCTTTTGACGGGCTAAAGCAAAATGATGCATTGATAATGCATGTAATGACTACTTTTAGCTGTGATAAAATGAGATTACACATAGATTCTTACCTCTTGCCATTCTGTAGGATACCAGGAGGGTGGGCAGTCAAAGCGGTTACAGGCTTGTACAAGGGATGGCTTAGGTTTATAGCACAATTCATCTGCCAAAATTACAGTCTCGTTAGTCTCTCTTGATAGTAGATGAGAACAGAAGACATCTCGTGTCTGCAATCCAACCCCACAGGTAAGGCTGCAGGTGCTCCATTTCCCAATCTCCCATCTGTGAAGGGGTCAGGAGAGAAAACTTTAAGCACAGAATAAAGTCACCTAATTCTTCTCTTTTTATAATGACAGGTGGAGTGAAGAAACAGTAAAAGAAAGGTAATACTTCTCTGATCACTGTCGCACTTCCTCTAGCTTCAGAACAAGGCTAAGAACAATATTTACTGTTCCTTTGCATTTTCAGTTCTTGTCAAAAGCACCTGGACTTCAATTGTTTGTGGCTTCTGCAATGTCATAGGAACAATTTTGTGCCCTAAATTAAGAGTTTTTGGTGTGCAGGAGTCTGGCCAATATATTTCAAGACTGAATGGATTTAATTACCTGGGTTTTTTTCTGTCTTTAACAACAACAACAAAAGATATTAACAAAGTCCATCAAAGGAGTGTATCAGTGAATTCCTGAGCAGGAAATTCTTCCAGAGATCCAGGTGTGATGTTTCTGGCTGAATTTTCCTTGTTGTGGAGGTAGGGAGTCCTAAGGCCTTGAGAGATGCAAGGTGAGAGAAGAGAGATTCTCTAAAGCCCCTGGGTGAACAGCTGTCACCAAGTCAGCCCTTCTCTGCAGTAGCTGTGTAAATCCTGCATCAACAGGATTGTTGATTATGGAATTTCAGTGTTCATCACATTAAAATCAGATTTCTGCTGTTTGAGCTGTACTGAATACAACCCCTAATTCTGCCAGCCATACACAGAAAATCGCTTAAAACATTAGGTCTTCCACCTTTGTACTCTACTAAAGGAAGTTCAGAGATTTGTGGAAATGTGTACACAAAAAAAGTCCTATTTTCAGAATGAGAATATGAGAAAATGGTCTTCCCATCAACTTTACACAAAACACTGTACTAACCTGGACATACTCCCACATCCAAAATGAAAGTATGAGAGCCACATGCTGCCACTTTTCCTAATCCTGAAGAAATGCTTCCTTTCCTGCATGACGTTACTTAAACTGATTGCTGGGAGAGTAAAACATTTGGGACAAGGAAGGCTCAGAGAATCTGCCTTTAAAAAGGGCAAAGTCAAGCAGAATCTAAAGAGGCTGGTTATGAAGAAAGACACCCTCAGGCTCCAAGGAGTCAGACAATGAAGGAAAGTTATGAAACATGCCAGCATCACGAAGCAGAATTTGTGGAAGAAACAGAGGAAAACACTCTGACAGCCTGAGATCAGCAGTCAATGGAAACTGCTCAGCATGTTTAAAATGCATCATGTTAATAAACACGTTATGGAAATAATTATTCAAGGTTGTGTCATCTTACAGTCACAGAACAATTCTAACTTCTCTATTTATTTTATTAAGTTGCTCTGGGCATTTGTTTTCCCCCCTCTCAGCAACACCCATAACAAATTGAAAAAGCTAGCAGGTAAGAAATGTTTTTTCCCTCCCTTGACGATAATGCTGGTGGATCAAAAGTGACATTGCTCCCCCTTCTGTGCTCCATCTGCTGATGACATTCTCTGATTTTATAACAGGACAGGATATGTTCTGAGTATCACTGTAGGCACAGGTAGCACTGTAGTTGACTTTTAGTTCACTGTAATTCACAACAGCCTTGATTCTGCCAGTAGCAATGACAAAAAGGCGGTGTCATGGCTTAACCCCAGCCAGCAGCTAGGACCACAGCCACTTGCACAGTTCTCCTCCTCACCACCCCCTCCCCCCACAAAGAGAGGGGAGAAGAGAGAGAAAAGGAGGGGAAAAGGAAGGGGAAAAAACAGCCTCCTGGGTTGAGATAAAGACAGTTTAATGGAACATTAACAGAAAAGTGATGATGATGATGATGATAATGGTAAGAGAATGTACAACATAAACTAATACAACACAAGTCACACTCATCACCTGGTGAATTGGTAGCCTAGCTGGACCCAAGCAGTGATCGGGATTTTTGCCTCTTGGCCAACCCCATTTATGTAGCAAGCATGATGCCTATGGCACAGAATATTTCATTGGCCAGCTTGTCCTGTCTATGCTCCATCTCAGCTTTTATGAGAAGCTGAAAAAAGTCCTTGACTAATATAAACATCACCTGGCAACAACTAAAACAATATGCCTTATCAACATTCCGTTCATACCAAATCTGAAACACAGCAACCACTGGAAATAAAATGAATTCTGTCACAGCTGAAACTAGGACAGATGTTTAACCCTTTCTAATAATGAACACATTTTGCAAACTTACTTAGAAGTTGCCATGGTTGCTTTCCAGGCCGTAATACACTGAACATCACTAAAGCCTGATATGTGTACTGGGAGCTATTTAACAATGGAATAGGAGTGACATCTGGCAGCCAGTTAACCTAATCTGGAGTATGTTCTCCATACGAATGATCTTGGGGGAGAGGTCTTCCCAGATTTTCCCATAAAATTGTCAGTCAGAATTAATGTGGATATCAGCTACCCTTCACTTTTGGCACAATCTAAAATAAGATATTTGAGTAAGCGCTGAAAAGAAGGCATTTTCTTATTTCAGATTCTATTTTGATACATGGTTAGTTGCCAGAGTTTCTTTTATTCAAGTGATGGTAATAGCTGTTGCCTGCAGCAACTCATTGTTATTGGTAAAAGTGCACAATGTTTCTGTTGGCAGTTCACATCTCAGTGGCCAGCAGGCCACGTAAACTCTTTGGAGATCTTGGCTTCTACAGAAGAGAGTGTCTGTTTCTTCTTCCAGGAAGAAATACTGTGTTTCAGTAAAGAGAAAGGATTTGTTTTTCTAGTGTTTGAAATTTCTGTTTCAGGCTGCATCTGTTGCCCTACCCAAAATATCAGTTTGTTCATAGTTCTTTCCGGCTGCTTTAAACAGGAGATTCCTTAGAGGTGCTCAGGAAATATCAGGTCAAACTCTCTCTTTTGGACTTTCATATTCCCCAGTGACATTTATGGACTTCCACAGATACAAAGTAAAGAATGTAGAGTAGAGCAGGGGCGTGCAAAGTACAGTAGGGATGCACAAGTAACCAAAACCATAAATAAGTGACTGGCAGAATTTCAGAGTCCTAAAACACACAGAGAAAATAAGTGATAATCTTATAGAATAGAACCACAGAACTGTAGAACTATTTTATAACAGCTAAAGGTGCTTGCAACACTTTGAACTAATGCTGCTAAATTTACAATTTAGTTTTTAAACTTGGAGATAATAAAGATAATGATCTTTTTATTTTTCCTTTTTTACAAATACTACTTTTCTGCAGCAACACAGTTTTACCCTTACTGTAGAGTGTTACGTTATGATGCTAACTGAAATAATACCTGTCTTATTTCATATGGTCCTTATCTGTGCATTCCTTTGTCTCTTTTTTCTTCTGGGAGTTTTGACCATACTGCACTGACTCTTCCAATGTGTATGGCATAGGAAAAAGAATAATGCTGTCTTGTCCTGCATGCCTCTGACAATACCAGAATTAATAGTCAGGTAAGAAATAATCCTACACTTAAAAAGTTGAATATGTTAGTGATAGGATCAAGCTAAGGAGACCTTGTGCAAGTGGAATTGGCATCTTTGTGAGCTGACTGTGGTTGTTAAGGTGGAGACTTTAGGAAAAATCTGCCTACTTGCTAGTTTATAGCCCTGCTGAAAGTCATCAGTTTGGTACTTCCCAGAGCCCAGTGAAGAGATTGCGTGGTTTTGGCCTGACACATTCTTTTTATCTCTCCTTGTTTCTCCTACACTAATGCCCAAAGCTATACTAATATGTAGCAGAAGAGAAACAATGTCTTTTTAGCCTTTTTTTTACAGCAGGACTTTGGCACATTAGTGCCCCTAAATCTATGGCTTGTCCTAACTCTAGGTCTTTCAGTTGTGTGATAGTCGTCTATCTCCATCTCCTAAATATCTATGTAGTGGTTATGTATTTAAGCACAAATAAGACTTTAAAAATATTTCAATTTCATAAAAAACAGAATTCAAAAGGATTTCATCCTCTGCAGAGGCTGACATACATACAATACGTTGAATATTTGAACTGATTGAAGAAAAACTATATTAATACAAAAGCACACAGACATTTAGAGATGGCTAACAGAGAGGAATGTAACAGGAAAACGGCAATTCATAGGGCTGGGTGTGTTGAAATGGATATGTGTGTACTAGCAATACATATATTAGAATCCACATATACACGTTTTTCAAATGAACATAAATGAAAACAAGTTTCCACTGGAAGTATATAGGGAACAGAGGATGGTCCCAATGTATAGCTTATTTAATGTATCATCACAAATGCAAAGTACAAAATTGATCACAGAATCTTTTTGCTTTCCAAATGAACATTCTCGAGCTTCCTGCAGACTGTTGTGATGCCTTAGTAGTTTTTTAGAGTTGGTGAAGTGTATGAAGATATGTAATGCATATGAAGACAGGTAAACAAAATAGTGAATCTGATCTGACTGCTCAAGGGAATGACTTTTCTTTAGCTTTTATAATACATGATGATAAGGGCATGGTCTAAAAACTGAACAGAAATTCATGAAAAGCCCATCAACAGGAGCACTAAATTTCTTGCACTTCCAGGAGCTATATGCTAAGAAAGTGACTTAGTAGTGGACAGATTTAATGAACAGAAAAACACTAGTTAGGAAATCTAACAGTCAGTTCATACTATGAATTAGACTAATTATGTCTAATATACTATTAATTTTACAAATTAAAATTCTAATTTCTAAAGGGCCAGTGAGAAACTGTAATGTTTTTGAGCATTCTCATTAAATAAATTAGGCTTGACTCTGCATGCTTATGCTTAACTTCAGGTAAACAAGCAGCTTCCACAGTCAGTATATTTTAAAATGTGAATATTTGCAGCTCCCTTGAATGAAAGAGACAGAACAATTGTGAAGTTCCAGTTGCCAAAAAAGGCTTAATAAGCTGAAAAACAAGATTTCAATCACAGCACAGTTTTTCTGTATCATTAACGTAAGTCTGAAAATGTTAGAGATGCACTCAAAAAGCAGCTTAACCATGCTGTTTCTAATTAGGGAAATTATCTTGACATAGTTAAC